AATAAGTTGTCCGCTTTTGAGCGCTTCTTCTCTTCAGTCCGCGAGACGACCGAAGGAGAGATCGATAAAATTGATCAATATAAACCTTCGCGCTAATCAAATGGGGCAAAACATCGCCCACATAGTCCTGATTCCCGCAACAATGGCCGCCATCGGTGGCCACAAAAATCTTGGCGCCATTTGTGTCCACTTTTGCGCGACTAAACGCCGCCAACGCCTCCATAATACCGGCCCTGATATCTGTGAGACCACCGCCAGTGGTCGGTACGGCTGCCACCAGGTTATTACGTACGGTTTGACTAGTGATCTTGATCACTTCATGCACTGACCACGCTTTACTATTGAATAGCACAATACCAACATGATTATTATCACCAATATTGTTTATAAATCGCACGGTCTCCAAGTGCAGTGTCTCGCACTTCGCACCGGCCATACTGCCCGACACGTCCAACACAAACACTGCCCTCTCAGACATTGTTTATGGTAATATTTTAAAATTTAACTAGTTCAGTATATTACTTGCTAGTTATTGAATTTATAACTAACGCACAATTAAAACAGATATTTTTATTTTGTTTATTATTTATTACTTATGATTACATAATAATTTTCAGTTAAAAATTAAACATTTGTAATGATTGATGAATTTTATTTGCATTTATCATGTGCAATCATTTAGGATGTGAATCACTATGGTTAAAAAATAAAATTAACTATAAATATTATAATTACTGGCATTTAAACATTAAATGCATTTCAATATAGAATAAATATGATCATTTTTACATAGCAAAGTCCATAACATAAATCTGTACACTATCTGACAAACAGTGAAATTCAAAGCCGTTATCATATATACAGTATTATTTGAAAACAAAACTATTTATTACTTTATGAATAGATTTGATGGTTAGTTTTCGGTGAATCTAACTGTATAACATTATGGTAGGTGTTGTGTGATTGTATCTAACATAAACTGTATTTATAAGAGTAATTTAATCTATGTAACTATGCATACGAGACATTGAGAGTTTTAAAAAAATTATATGTCTGTTAATGACATTCACTGTATCACTAATGCAGACATTGAATATAAAGTTGTTTTACATATTTTGTATAATCTATGAAATATTTTTCATTTAATATGTTTTGCAAAATTAAAAGTATTGAATGATTTTTTGTTAAAAACATTAATTTTAATGCAAACTTGAAATGTAAGTAAAATTTCCATAATTTTTGTTTTGCCACAACTTTAGCAATAGTTTTACATTTATTTTAACTAACATTTAAATAAATTATCTTAACCCCTATTATTTTATCAATATAGTACAAATACAATAAATACCAAGGTAAAAAGTAAAATGATAAACTAAAATCAAAATATTACGGCTAACATAAGTTTTTAATAACACCATCTATGTCACACTATGTCAATTTAATAATTTAAGTTATAGAATTATTATGCAGTGATAAATATTTCTAATGTAATAAATATTTCAGCATAGTTATTTTTTGCTAAAATATTTTTTGTATAAATCTTATTATTAAAATTATTTATAACTGAAAAATTTATAATTTTATTATTATGTAGATATAAAACATCAATACTTTTGTTTGAAAAAACAAAATTAATGGCAAACCTAAGAGCGATTGAAGTGATTGAAAAGCGCTATCATTTCAACAAACATATATTTGAAAGCATTTCAAGTAAAATCAATGAAAAACATTGCGATAAAATAGCGATCGTATCAGTTGTTGGACCGCATTTCGAGGGAAACACTTTCACTGCTAATCTCATATTAAATTACCTCGAGAAACAGAATAATGATCTGGATAAATGGCCGTCTGACGTAACACTAACCCCCAATCATGGGTTCAAAAATATCGAGATTGATCCTGATGAAAATGGTCAAAAAGGGCTAAAGTGTCCGGGCATTGAAATATGGTCCGAGCCATTGATTGTAGACCGTAATAATAGGCGTGTGGCCGTAATCCTAATTAATTTACAAAACTTCCCATACACATTTTCCGATCTAATAGAAAATAGTACACTGATCCAAACGTTCCGGCTCATTGCAAATATATCGACTATATTTGTTATTAATAAGCCAGGTGTTATTGTAAGCATACACATGCCTAGTTTAATTATTTGTATTATTATTATTATTATTATTAATTAACGCTAATTTATATAGCAATACCCCGATGTGTCCGGTGAAAAATATGTGATCCAGGTCAAATTGTACGAACAATTTCTCAACACATTAAGCCAATGGGAATGCAGTAATTATGAAGAAATGGAGGCCAACTTCAAGTTAATTACCGAGAAAGCAGACAATTATCAGACACTTGGCCGAGACTTTAATAAAAAGGGCTCGTATTTAGTCGCCTGTCCCACATATAAAGTCAAAAACACTAACTGGAAAGTTGGGGAACTTTGCCCGGAATATGTGAACCAAATGAAAACATTCATACAATTAGACGCTCTCGACACTCTCGCTCTTGATCACAATATGAAGGGCATTACGTTTACAAATACGGATCAACTATTGAAAATGATCGAGACACAAATTATAATGTTTAATAACCTTAATATAAACCGTCCGGTTTTGGAGTCTAGTTTGGACAACATTGATGACACCGATAGTAATACACCTGATAAACCATCTAGTGATCAAGCGCAATCCACCTCAAACTCAAACCATAATGGTCATAGCAACGGCCCGCAAACTGAACCAGGTGACTTACCTGAACAACCTCTTCCCATTGAAGTATATCAGCAAAAATCAGCGCAAATTATCAGCCAGTTATCGGACGAACCCATGCCAGACAGTCCGCCACCCGATGTCGGCCGCGCAGATGACCCCGATGAAAGTAGCAGTGAAAATATGGACACTCTTAACCATGATCAAATTACTAATGACTCGGACAGTAGCTATGACAACATAATTAGCGAAGCGCCCTTTTCAATGGGGTCCGAACTAATGACCTCTGATAACGATAGCGGTGGCGATGATACTGGTAACGAGTCACCTGGTCATTCTAGTAGTAAACAATCACAATTGTCATCTACACATTTACCCATGATCAATAATGTGGGCAATAATAGCGCCCATATTAATCGTGTTATAGTACGCGAATGGGAAATACGTCGAACCAGTAGACAGACATCGACCGACCCGTTGGGAAACAGACACCCGTTAGCTGATAATGAGGGCAAAGGCAGTGCCGATGAGAGAACAGTTGGCGACACTACCGGCGCTGTCGACAAGAATGAGTTTATTATAGTTAAGAAAAAATTATTAAACAAATATATTGCAGAAGTTTCACAACTGATAGACAATGAAATATGCGATATATTGGGGGCATTACATAAGGCACACAATTCAGCACTTGTGAAATGTATGGATGAGTTTAATAATGATATCATTAAGAAATTTCCCGCAGAAGTTCACGAAGAGTTCCGGCAATCACTCGACACCGCATTGAATGAGGAAAAAGTGGTATTTAATCATAAATGCAATGAAATGACAACAATTGGCGATCAATTGTTGGGAGAATTGGCCAAAAGTTTTACAAAATTAATGCAAAACAGACTCAATTCAAACAAAGGGTTTGAGTTTAATATAAAAAGCAAAAGTTTTGACCCAATATTTATCGAGATCTCGAATAGAATAAAAGCTGAGTTTAACCGAAGATCTGGAGAGCTTAAAAAATTACAAGCATTTTATTTTGAATCATTGACCAAATTTATTGACGAACAGAAAGTGATTTACACTAACTTTGATTCAAAGTATAACGAGTTTGTGAACAAATGCCAACAACTTTGCGATTCAGACGTGTATTTCATACACGAAACACAATTGAAATGCTTTTTACTGACGGATGAAGAGATCAAAGAGTGGTTTAAAAATGATTACTATTTATGCAAAAAATACGGCGATTTGACTGAAAGTGCGATAAATAATTACAAGAAACAAATATTACAAATCAATACTAAAAACAAAGATTTAGTCGGAAAATGTTTGCAAATGTATAAACAAATGTACGACAAAGGGATGACTGTATTATTAAAAAGCGGGACATTTTCTAACGAAACTTTCCGAGAAAAATACAATACCGTTTGCAGTAATGCTTGGAAATACGTTATGAACACACTTGTGCTAAAACAATGCAAAACTAATGTATTCAACGCGTGTCGAGACAGTTGTAACGATTATCCCGGCACCAAATACCAAGAGCAGTTGAATGCAAATGTAAAAAATCACCACAATATACAAACTGCAATGAACGAGATTGTTTTTAAATGCTATAAAAAGTACTGCAAACAATTATCTGCTAAACTATCCCGGAGCATTTATATTGATAACAAGCAGTTTAACGATGAAAATCAACGGATTTTGGACCAATTAGGGTCAGAACAGGAAGAGCTAGTGAAGGCCTATCGGACACAGTTTGATGAGAAATATATACAAGAAATTTGTGATAAAAATTGGGATAATATTTGTCTGCAAATCAATGTCTCGAGAGACAAATATTGGAAATTGAATGAAAGCAAACAAAACAAATCGCATACATTTATTATGAACTTTGAGAGCAAACCAATTGCTGTTTATTATCTCAATAAACAAGATAATACAATGTGTACTGTACACAGTACTGATGGGCACCGGGACTCAAATTGCATTGTGTTTGACGGCCAGCGACTACTATACGGACGAAAGGCAGAGGAATACCTGAATGGACACACGTTTGACATCAAACACATTATGGGAAGGGATGTGACCGACGATGAGCTCAATCGCTATCCCTTTGAGTTTGTGGACAAACGGCACCCAAAAGTACGGCTCTTATTCAACAATGAAATCCCTATTGACTTAAATATTGAGTCATTATTTGCGTTACAAGTGTTGGACACAAAGATTGCTGTGCAAGACACATTTAAAAATTACATGAAAAACATGTTGTTTATTGTGCCCACACATTACACCATAAGGCGATTGAACGCATTCAGGGACGCGGCCGTAATAGCGGGTGTTGAACATGTTCAGTTTATTACTGAAATGAACTCGGTTGCCGTGGATTTTGGTTTTAATAGTGATTTTAACGCACGAAACGCCGCTTTCCCGCACGTATTGCTTATATTAATTACAGATACTGGTTATGAGTTAGCACTCGTTGAATACCACGACATAAGTGTCAAATACAATGCATACATACGTGTGGCCCACAACTGGTCTCAAATCGGCGCTAATCATAATGCAGTAAAAATTAAATTCACCACTTCATTAAAACATTTGTTTGAAATTTTTCCACTTAAACAAATGTCAATATTTAATAAAACTAAAGAAAAAATCTTCAATTGTTATATTGTTGGTTAGTATTAACACTATTTTGTGCTATAATTCAAATTGTGATCATGTATAATTCTTGGTTGCTAATTAAACACAGCAGTTTTGTTTTAAACAATTAATATTCCCTCTAAAGAATTATTTAATAAAAATAATACTAATAGATTTATAATAGTTTAAATTAGTTGGTTTAGTAATTTTTTAATTGATCACATATTTTCTTGTTATAAATTCCTAAATTAATTTTAAACTATGCACTTTTAGGCGACAATTCTATTACATCGTTCATGGACTTTGGAAACATCCTGAACAATTACTGCTTACAAATCGCATTCAACCATGATTTATCATCCATTATGAGGGGTGCCGTGTATTACAGCAAATACTACGAAACACACGGCAAACACATACCCATCACTGGAGTTATGTTTCGGGATATCGTATGTCATATCACAACTGGCCATAAAGATAAAGTACTTTTATACGCCAATCAAGTGCCCAAACCAGACACGCATCTCAAATATAAACTGAGTCGCACCGACCCGTTCCCGATTACTGTCCGCATTACCGAAGGCCCCGATTTGGTAATCAAACAATTCACCATGAACAAATATCCAGAACAGGGCTTTGCCCCAAAAATGACCCTGTACCTATATTTATTTGCCACGAGTGATTTAAACAATAAAACAAATTTGAATTTTAATATTGGCGTCAAAATTGGGCCGAAGTATCAACTTACATTGGCTCCTGGTCAGTTGTTGGAATACAAATATAGTTTGACCGAGGACCAAATTATTGAACAAACGGGTCTATTGGGCAATTTTATCAAACCTGACAATTTGCCCGACAAATACACAGATGAAAACATTATGGACTATGACTACAATTACTATTCAAGCAATACAGACAATACGACACAAACAACTGCCACAGTTAATACAGTTAAACAATACACAAAGCCTGTCATTAAGCCAATCAAACCAACTGTGACCAGTAGTGAGCTGGATCAATTTGCGAATAAACTTTTTCAACAATACCAAGAGAAAATTCTAACACTAACCAATACATGTGAGCCCAACACTACTGAATACGACCAAAAGTCACGCGCAATGCGTACGGACACACTCGCTAAATATGACCTGGAGTTTGCCAACAAAGATCCGGATCAGTTAGTGGCCAAACGTAGAGAGGCTTTGATCGCACAGATTAACAGCGAAGACATACAATACAGAGCTATTGCCAAACATATGGTCGACAAAAATGATAAGAAATATAATTATTTGATTGAATTGTGTGTCAAAGAATTTAATGAGCAAATGTGCATGGCCATTGATAATGATATTGAGCTGGATGGTTTGGCGCATAATTGCAATACAATATACTACAATGTAAATGAAGAAATAGCGACAATGTTCAATCAGAAATCAGTGGATTTGTCAAAAAATAAACAAAAACAAACGTATGCATCACTTTTGACACAAAATATCACAGAAAACATTGAAAAATATAATAATCTCTACAATTGTAATAAAAGTTATCATAAGATGTGTGGACAACAAATACGAATTCATAGATATTTTCCCGATCAACAGCTCTATGATATACAGAAACAGATACCGGTGCCCAACGATTTAATATCCAATTCAAACCTTATGGACAAATTGAATAAAATGTATGATAAAGGTGTCCAATATTTTGCACATAAAATGGCAGAAATTCGCCATGATGAACAACGAGTGGCGGAACAACTAATAATGCCAATGGTTGGCAAATATCAGACTATATTTGAGCAAGTATTAAGAACAAAATTTTATACCCCATCCAATTTAGACGGCATTCACGCCGTATTAAAGTTTCAATGTATTACATCATTGAAAGTGCCATACAATTTATTCACTACAAACCAATTTGAACTAGAGCAATCGTGCGTGGAAAGGTGCCAGGTGCAATTAAACGAGGCTTACAAACAAATTAAGTCTAATTATATGGCAAGAATTAACCGTTTATTCACATTAAACGTTAATATTGTGAGAGATATGCACCGAAAGTATTGCCAGAATATATGTCCACAACATTTGGACTTCAATTTCATAGATGTCTATGAATTGCAGCGTTTGCTCGAAAGCGAGTTAATTGTTATAATGAATATATTCACTGAACACATGGATGATATTGGACAGGAATGGGACCGGCATTCGTTATACAATATTGATCAAAATCACCGGGATAAACTCAAACTGGAGCTGCTTAATCAAATTGATCAATATAAGCTGAAAAACTTTCGCAACGCTCCAGGCTCAGGTAACCTGGGTATTTACTTTGAACGCCGCCTTTTAATGGCAGGCTATTTTGACCATGGTGTTGAGTTTGTGCCCGATAACGAGATTGATATTGAAAAGAAAAACACCCAGAGTAAATATGCATGCGTTGACAATTGTATCGCATTTACCGATAAATTCCTGTTCGGGAGAAAAGCCAAAGACTATTTGACGGACAGTTTTAACACCGAGTTTGACGTGAAAGAGCTGTTGGGTAGGGATCGGGTGGACACCGAAAAGCAAAGTCTATACCCGTTTGGCGATTGGATACAAAACCCACCCCGAGTTCGTATACCATCACCCGTTCATAGCGGACAGGTCTACGGCCTAAATGCCGAGACACTGGTAGCCCTACAGGTGCTCGACATTAAACGCAAAGCAGAGATATTAATGAAAAGTCGCACAGAGAAAGCCGTGTTCTGTGTGCCCACCGGTTATAATAGTAAACAGAGGCGCGCTATGCGTGATGTGGGTATATTATCCGGTATTGACCATGTTCACATTATTAATGAAATGACTGCCGCAGCCCTGGCTTACGTTATCGACTCTCCCCGTAAAGCATTTGCCAAAGAGTTTATAATGATATTTGCCATTCACCAAGATCAGTTCGAGTGCGGGCTAATTAAATTGGGCAATACTTTCATTGAACACCTAGTTTACGGTGTGGTAAACGACTTGAGTAATTTTTACAGCGAATATCCAGGTTATAATAACCAGGGTGGTCGTTTCAAAGATTACATATCAAACACTTTGGTTCTACAAAACCTGACCATGCGCGATCTGAATCGTGTAATATTGATCGGTAATTCGGAGAGACTGA